GCAGCACAGGGACAAGCGGCAGCACAGGGACAAGCAGCACAAGGACAACCGCTAGCGCAGGGACAACAGCCAGTGCAAGGGCAACCGCTAGCACTAGGACAACAGCCTGGGCATGATTCTGCACAGCCGCAATCACCAACACAATCGGGATTCGGACAGCAACTATCAGCAGCACAGCCAGCACAAGTCCACGTCGATAATACCCCTACCAGGGGAGACGTCTATGGCTCAGCTGCTATGGGAGCTGCCATTGGAGCGGTTCCCGGCACTGTTAGTGCCACGATACTTAAAGATCAGAATGAACAAAATAGGGAGCAAACTGCTCGTGAAGGAGAAATGAATAGGGCACAAAATCTCGAGATTGCCAATATGAAGAACAATAACGGTGGCGATGCTAGCAATAATGGTGGTGGCGCTAACCCTTCTCCTTCTGCCAACCCGGCTCCTCCTGCGAATCCAGCTCCTTCTGCCAACCCAGCTCCTCCTACCGACCCAGCTCCTCCTACCGACCCAGCTCCTCCTATCGACCCAGCTCCTCCTGCCAACCCTGCCAACCCTGGAAGCACTGGTTACGGTAACGCTGGTAATGCTGGAAGTGCTGGCTATGGAAATGTTGGCAATCCTGGCAGTGCCGGTTCTGGCAACGTTGGTAATGCTGGAAGTGCTGGCCACGGAGATACCAATGTAGCGGGCACTACTGGAGCTGCTGGTACAGTTAGCAATGCCGGCTATAGCGGAAATACTGGTAATGCTGGAAGCACTGGGTATGGATATGTTAGTGCAGCAGGCACTTCTGGCGCTGCTGGTACCGTTAGCAATACCGGCTATGCCGGAAATACTGCCAATGCCGGCGCTGCTGGCAATACTGCTTATTCTACCGGTGTTACTAAGAAGCGAGGACTTCCGGAACTGGATCAGGAAGTTGCTCGAGAAACCCAACAGATCGATGATTCTTGTACTAAGGACCTTAATAGTCGGTCCAATTTGGTCCATCATTATGAAACCGGCACTGACTGTAAGTTTCTGATTCTCAAATACGGCACCCTGACCTACTTACTGAAATTTTATGGATCTAGCTCTTCGATTGGATGACGTTCCTCCGTCCTCTACGTAGCTCACAGAAATCCTCTCCGGCCAGCCCGAACTGGCTGCTGGCAGCCCCGTGCCAAAACCCATTGGTTCTACAAGTATCGAGCATCATGGACTCGGCGAGTAAGAAAAGAACAAACTCAAATGCTCTCTATAGGGCTCGCGGCCTCCATGGCTATGGCGATTGGATCTCTCAAGACGGTTCAGGAAGGACGAATGAGAGTCGAGACACATTCTGCTTTCATGTATTTTGATTGATGAGTTTGTATTACTCATATATTCTTTTATTCAATTCTGAAGACTTCCTATGTACCAAGCGTCTCTACTGAGGCATCTGCTAGGCTTCCGCGAATATTGGTAGGCGTATCGCTCGATTCTAGTAGACGTGGAAGAGTGATATAGGGAATAAGAGTGCATTATAAACTGGCTCTGTAACTGTTTTTATATTTGTTTTCGTCAGTTCCAAAATGCTTACGCGAGTGCCCCATTGCTATTAAACTGAAGATGATGGTATGTTTGGTAGAGAGACAATGATCTAAAGTCTAAACGATGCCCCAGGAAAACTATCAAGTCTAGTTACCCAGGATCTGCTGAATGGCGCTCTTAAGCTCCTGTTCAGACATAATCCGCAGACCCAATCGTTCATTCCAGTTGAACTGCATGAAATCTCCACCCTTATACCCTTCCCCGTACATCATCTGGAAGTAGTAGTTGATGATTACCGACTTGTCCCCCTGCTTCAACTTCTCGTCTGACTTTGCGATCAGCTCCTTCACTGACACTTCTTCCGGAGTACCGAAGTCAATGCCAGTGACTTCAGAAACAAGCTGAGTCAGATGGCGCTCTGTGACAGCAGCCGAGCAGATATAGATGGGCTGATTAGCGGCAGCCTCGAAGTTGCTGTGGCTCTCCAGCAGCTTGACAATCGCTGTGGCGATATCAGAGAGGGTCGAAACGGCGATCGGCTTGTCACCGCCATCGTGAAAGATGGCTTTTTTGGCCATAGGGTTGGGGCCTAAGACGCCATACTTAAGGGCCATGTCAAAGAAGGCACCGTTATTGACCGAGGTCCATGTGGTGGGGCTGGAGGTACTGGGCATCACGGAGGTGAGGTACTGACGAATAAGAACCTTCTCCTTGGCAATTGGTAGATTGATGGATAGAGGGGACTCGAGCATGGTGGTGAATTCGGAGGGGATGAAACGCTTGACGGATGCAGAAATGCAGGCATCGATTATGATCTTTTCCGAGTCGAGCAGAGGGAAAGGGACAGCACTGGAGATAATCCGGTTAGAGCCATCCTGAAGTTGGCAAGTTGGGCAAGCCCCTTACCTAATAACGACATCCTGTCCAGTGAAAGTTGAAACCAACTCCTCCTTGTTTTGGTAATCGACCTTGATAGATTTAAGGCCCTCTGGAGCGGACTTGCTCGAGTCCTTACGCTGGATAGCGGTCACCTCGTGGCCAGCAGCTCTTAATGCGCTAGAGATGCGAGAACCGAGAGTGCCGGTAGCCTATATGCATGTTATTAATCTCAATGACAAGAATCAGACGGGTGTGCAAAGTATTGTACTCCAATAATAGAAACTTTTCTGACGTTGGCCATTTCAATACCGATAGAATGGTGTGTCGATAGATCTGATACTCATAGCAAAACCTGGGGGATATGGCGGCAGCTATATATAGCTTCCTGTGAAAACATATATTCCATGGCGATGATACAAGCTCGGCGTTCTGGACTTCAACAGTGCCGACTTGCTATTTCGTGTTTGAAATCAAGCCCGATCTCGGGCTTGACATCAATGCCGAGCTCAGTAAGCAATCACTGCCAACATCAACCACACCAGATGCTCCTATGGATCACAGATTGACTAGAACAATTAATAGGACTATCAAAGCTGAGTTCCTTTGAATAGGTTGATTTCACCCTTCCAATCCCCGCCTCCAGCACGAGGTACTACTCTATGTACAGGTTACAACGACTCCTGATTATCAAGTGGCGAGTCTCCTTTATGTGCATGTTCCATCAGTCCCCCAATATTAACGTTCTGGACGGGATAGGGCTGGGTTCATCATGTGCAATGATTCCCTTCTCAAGCCATGCTTATTTCCATTCTTCGAAGACCGAGTGCGTTTTACTCATGTTCCAATCCGTCGTAGTATACGGGCATTGATTTGTATAGTTGATTACGCACGGACCACTCGCTATCGATAAAGAATCTGCGGCAAACCCCGCGGCCATAATGTAATTAATCTAGTTAATCTAGATCAATTGACGGAGTCGTCATCCTACATACATCTCAATCACTACTACATAAACCGGAACAGATCCTTCTGTCTGCGAGAACAACCCAAAATGACAGCTACAAAGACAACACCCTCTGAACGTCAAGTCAATGTTCTGTTTGTCTGTCTTGGGAACATCTGTACAGTCCATCCTTTCCCCTCCCCGCATGGGAATGAGAAGGAACCGAGACTAACCTCTTGATCACCACAGGCCGGTCTCCCATGGCCGAAGGAGTCTTTCGGAACATGGCTGCCTCCCACTCTCTAATCAACGAGATCGATTCCGCCGGCACCGGTGCTTATCATACTCACGAACCTCCTGACTCTCGCACCATGTCTACTCTCCGCCAACACGGTATTAAGAACTACAACCACGCCGCCAGAAAGGTCACCAAGGAGGACTTCTTGACGTTCGACTATCTCATGGCTATGGATAAGCACAACTTGCGCGACCTCCTGGACGTGCGCGAATCTGTCACTGCTTCCTTGAGCAAATCAAAGAAGGCTGCCAAGGTTGCGGAGGTACGGTTATTTGGGGACTTTGGAGCCGGTGGAGCGTTGCATGAACGCGTTGGGGGTGGCGAGGTGGTGCAGGATCCTTATTATGGGGGTGTCAATGGGTTCGAGGAGGTTTACCAGCAGGTTGTTCGGTTTTCGAAGGGCTTTTTGGATTACCTAGAGAAGAACCAGGGTGATGAGGCGGATAACTGAACGACTATATGCGAAGGGGGTCATGCGTTTAGTGGTTTTCCCTTGCATCAGAGCGAGGTTGAGAAGAAGTGACTTAGATACCCAGCGCTTGTTTAGACCTTGATCGATTGAAGCGTGAGCCAATGCTTTGCAGGCGTGTTTAGACATCGATATAGCATGTACATGCAAGAGACAAAGAATGTAGAAAGATGTTAAATAGATAGATTCCCAAGGATCGTCAATGTTCAAGATCTTAACCAAGAATATAATACATCTACTATAAGTGTGGTATTGTACAAAAGATCTGTAGCCGATGAGCGGTCTACCACCCGTATGGTACCTCTTACCGCTCTCCAAATTATACCCAAGCTCGCTTGCTAGATCATACTTTTTCACTGATATTGATGGCCGCTCTACACCCTAATCGGATGACGCTGACTAGCGGGTCGTAGGGCCGGGCTTCTTTGGCGTCATTCTCGACAGCATGGTCCAAATGCTCTAATTCTTCGTCGCGGATCCTTCGGAACGTCGCCAGCATATCCTTCAACTCATCGTCCAGCTCTTCCCCTCTACGTTCCGCCTCCGCCTGCCACGACAGTATCTCCCGCACTTGTTCATTATAGTGAGAGCCAATCTCCGTCTCCACAGCTTCTGTGCAGGCCATGGCAGCCTCACGTCCCATTGCTCCGGTCGACCAGCCGAGAAATGTTGCCGCAACCTCCCATATCGGATACATTGCCGTTGGTCGAACTTGATGTTTCGCAACCATCTGATTGAACGTCGAAAAGTGCCCAGCTTCTTGATCATACATGTGCTTCATTAACGGACGCAGGTGGGGATGGGAACGCACGACCTGCGGCGTTTGCGCCTTGTAAATTAAAGTAGCGGCAAGCTCTCCAGCCTGGTTGACCCGCAGGGCACTATCCAAGAACTCGCGTTGTTTTTGACTGAGGACATATTTGGGTTTTGACGAGCTGGGGGTTGAGTCGGGCGCTGGAGACGCATCATGCGATTTGCCCCAGAAAGGTGCATTTGCTGTGGATTTGTATCCGCGACAGCTCTGTCGCAAAGTTGACGGTGCGAGGAAATCGAACACTGGCGATGTTGGCCGGTAGGAATGGGGAAGAGGGCACCTCCGGAGTGCTGTGACGGTCTTCATCTCGGTCAAATGTTGAGACAAGTGAAGCGTGGGTGAGTCGTAGGGAACGCGAGAGGAAGAGAAACAAGAAAAATGAAGGTAGAAATTCACACAAGACGGACGTAAAGACCATTCATTCCGAGGTGGTCCAACCCGATCGTCTGCATTTCTTTAATTTAATCCGGCAGACGCGCGCTTAACCACCCGAACGGGCTTGGCACGACGGACGTCATGCCGACCGCGACTCTTGAAGTTAGTCGCTTCTTTTCACTTCCAAGTTCAGTCAAAGTCAACTTCTTCAACCCGCCACCCGAACTGCAGTCCCTTTGCCGGTGTCCTTATATCATTGTTCCTCTATAGCCCCCGTTATTGAACCGCTTCTCCTTGTACGAGTCATCTATAATCCTATATACGACCATTTCATACGACTCTGGAATCCGCTCCGACCAGTTAGACACTCTTTCATTGCGACTACCGCCCAGGGGTCGGCCGTTCATTATTCTCTTGCCAATCTCCTCTGCCTGAACCGGCACTTTCCGTCGCGGAGAGGCGCTTCTTTCCGACTGACTCAGCCACCTCACATTTCAGGCATCTTTTGTGTTATTCACCATGGCGGATGATCTTGATGCCGAGCTGCTCGCTCTCGCGGGTGACGCCTCAGATGAGGAGGCGTCTTCGCCCCCTAGGCAGAAGGACGCTTCTCCTTCTGCATCTCCCCCACAATCCCCTGAAGCGTTGTCAACTATGGGTCGCAAAGGAACTGCTAAGCCCGTCCGTCGAGGTCGCAAGTCACGGAAAGATGATGAAGAGGACGGAGAGGTGTACGTTCGATATTTTCCTTTTCCCCCCCCCCCTGGTGCGAGGTCTAACTTGCGCTCATATCGTGGTGCAATACGGTGACTGACACAGTATTTTTGACCAGGTCTGCGGCTGAATCACACAACTCTCTTGACTCTGCCAGCATGGTAGAGTCAGAGTCGGCGTCTGATTCGGAGGGATCAGATGCCGGTGCTGAAGACGACGGACCTATCTTCCCTTACGACAAGTTATATTATTCCTCGAAGGACAAAGAAGAAATCATGGCGATGCCTGAAATCCAACGAGAGCAAATTCTCTCCGAACGAGCGCAACAGGTTGACCGCCACAATCAAGATCTAGCCCTTAGGCGCCTTTTGGCTTCCCGTGAGCGCGAAGAAGCCCGCCAAGCGAAGAAGAACAAGCGGAAAGCTAGCATGGCAAACCTAGAGGATGGTCAACGAAAGAGCTCGCGTCAGAAGACAACACTGGGTGGTCGCAAGGTCGGTGAGACCTCGGATGCTATCGAGGCGTACAAGCGACAGCGTGAGCAGAAGGGCAGGCGAGATGAACTCCGTCGCCGTGAACCGGCATCCAAGGATCAGGCCGTTCGTTCGAGAGATAACAGGGTTTCTGACGAAGATGCGGAGGGAGAGAGTGATGCTGAGTGGGATGATAGAGATCGGTCGCCATCGCTACCAAAGGATGACCCGCCAGCGGAGCTTAGGGATATCCAGCGAGCTCGTGTAGGTCGGACCAACTTCGCGCAGGTCTGTTTCTATCCTGGATTCGACGACGCCATCTCTGGCTGTTATGCACGAGTCAACATCGGCCCGAATAGGGAAACCGGCCAGAATGAGTATCGGCTTTGCCAGATTAAGAGTATGTATTGCCAATATGTCGTCAACTCTTGTTTTCAAATTTGTTCCTAATCCGCCTTAGGATTCACCGAGGGTCGTCCGTATTCTATGGAGGGGCCGAATGGCCGATCGTTCGTGACGAAGCAATACGCAGTGCTTGCGCATGGGAAAGCAGAGCGGGAGTTCCCTTTTGTCGCTTGTTCAGACTCTCCTGTTACCGAGGTTTGTTTCTCACATCTTCGTATAAACCAACTTTCTAATGGTGTCGCAGGCGGAATTCAATCGTTATCGTCAAACTATGGCTGTTGAAGACTGCAAGATGGCGACAAAATCCACGGTAGCTGAGAAGGTCGTGGATATTAACCGACTCTTGAACCATAAATTCACACCGGAAGAGTTGACGGAAAAATTGAGGAAGCAAGGGTCACTGGACACCAAGTCGACTATTTTCAAGCGGATGGAGACGGAGAAGAAGCTGAAGCTTGCAAAGGCTGCGGGTGACGATGCCGAAGTCGAGAGATTAGAGTCCGAGATGGCTGGCATGAGCGCACCTAAACTTGCTTTCAGCGCGAACTCTTCGAAACCCCGTGCAGACAAGCCTTCCGAGCATGAACGTTTGTTAGAACTGAACCTCCGCAATCAGAGACTCAACACCGAAAATGTGCGTCGTGCTCAACTGGAAGAGAGAAAGGCCAGCCGAAAGGCCGCTGCAGCAGTCGCTCGCGGAGAAGCTCAGCCAAACCCGTTCATGCGCGTCAGGACACATGCCAGGACACATTACGACGCCAATGGCAACGGTACAGCACAATCAGACGCTACTAGTCGGGATGGAACCCCTGCTACTGGGTCCGATACGCCATCAAAAGTAAATACCCCCAACAGAAGCAATACTCCCTCCGGCTCCCAGAAGAAAGCCACTAAGGGTGGGGTCGCAACAATCCGTCATCGCAATATGGACGATGAGAACATTGCGGCTCTAGATCTGGACATTGACATTGAGATCTGATCCTCGGCAACGCATTGCTACATACCGATGTTCACGAACTGTGTTTATCCTACGTACAGCTCTGGTTATTGGATAGCCAACGATTCTTTGATGACGTATAGACTCTTGGAGATTGGACCAGAAACAACATTCCTGTCTCCAATCGCGAAGCATCTGGCACAGCGTCGGTTCTTGTATTTGAAAACGGATGGAGTTCACTTGGCGTTACATGGCTCTACTACCGATATCTTGCATGAACATGTATTATTGAACCATTATTACCTACCTTAAAACTAAACTCCAAGCATATTGCCATTGTCTGTGACTGTCATATAGCGAGATGTCTCTAAATAACCTACAATAAAAGCCCTCAATTACCAAAGCTCTTTCCAGTGTTACATTAGAATCTCCAATGAAAAATAGGGCTCTCCGCATATCACGTGTGATAAGGGAATGTGACGGCAGATCGGAGGATACGCGCTCAACACGCGGCGCGTCGTTCGTTCAGTAGTAGATTCTCCGCCCTAGATTGAACTGACATTTACTCCATACATAGCCCACTCTCCATTTTTCCACCTCCTATGACCAAAAGAATTAACCACACAGCCTACAATCGACCACTATAGTAATGATACCACTCCCAATTCCCACCTGCTAACGCAAATTCTCACATCCGACGCAACAATGTCAACCCCCTCCACACCGCGGACGGCGCGTTCCGCGTCGCCAGCAGCCAACTCACCCAAGATGCTCACCCCAGGGCAAAAGATCAAAGCAATGCTCGCTCAATTCGACAGCGACTCGGATTCAGATAGCGGAAATGCACAGCCTCAAAGATCCATCGCAAGAATCACCGACACCCTCAAGCACAGCACAGTCTCAGACCACCCATCAACCATGGATTTGGATGAAGAGGCCTCGGACGAGGACGACGATATCATTATGCCCAAGGGCCGCATGGCTGCTCGACTACAGGCTCAGAACCGTGAGAAGAACGAATCGGCATTTGATCGTGTGTCGAAGAGCTTGAGGAACGCACAGCAAGAAAAACGGGATTCGGCGGCTGATGAGGCCATGTCCGAGGATGATGACGATGACGACGATGATCTTCCTGTGGCGGGTCCACGGAGGAAAACAAATAATAAGCCGGTCGAGGAGCCTGAAGATAGTGAGGTGGATGGGTCGCCGCCTCGTGCGCGCGCGTTTTCGCCTCTGTTTGTTTCGTCTCCGACTCGTGATAATGCTCAGGAACGGAATGCAATCGAAGACTCGGATCAGGATGAGGCTCGGCCGAAGGCGAATGCCCGGTTCCTTGCCCTCGTTGCCCAGAAGCGCAAGGAGCGCGAGGAGAAGGAGAGAAGTGAAAATGAGAAGAGAGCCGCGAAGGCGAAGCAACGAGAACAGTTTAGCTCAGAGATACTCTCTGGTGACGATAGTGAGGGGGATGATGAATCCGGACGAAAGCTATCACAACCTGCACGACCTGCGCGACAGGCCAGTAAGAAGGCCCTGGAAGAGATGAACAGGGAAACCCAACGAATCAGCAGAAGTATGCAATTGGTCCATCAGGCTCAGACCAAGAAGAAGATCAGCAAGGAAAGCTTCTTTGCTCGGTTTAACTTTATGCAGCCTGATCAGCAAAACGCCTCGGGGTCTGCGCCGGACAACTCGTCGACTACCGCTGATTCGCAGAATTCGTCGGATGCTGAAGCTCAGAAGAATAAGGAAACGCCGCATACCTCACCGATTCTAGGTCCATCTGAGAAGCCTTCGACTGGCAGTGATGCTAATGATGCGTCCAAGGAGGCTTCAACTGAATTCCCGACCTTGGAGGAAATGGTTGCCAATGGCCCGCAGCAATCAGAACAACTCATCGTGGGTCGCATGGAAGAGCAAGCGGCGGATAAGAAACCTCAGGTCACCGAGAAAAAGAAGCAAAAGAAGGTCCTAACAATGCCACCTGTTCGTGTTCGCCTTTCTCGCGAGCAAGTAGCTCGGAACCAAAAAGACGATTCCGACAGTGATTTGGAAATTGTTACATCTCCCGCAAAGTGCCGCCGATATGCGGCATTCGAAAACCTTTCCATCAGAAGACACCAGGAATCAGCTTCTATGATGAAACTGAAGGCCCTGGCTCAGCTCACATCTCCTCCGAAGAAGTCCAGCATGAATTATGCCGAGTTATCCGCACATCTCTTGCATCAAGCGAGGCAACAGGCAAGCAAAGAGAGGATGGAGAGAATTGAAGAGCTGAGGGCAAAGGGTGTCATCATTGAAACGGCCGACGAGCGGGCTGCGATGGAAGATGAATTAGAGAACCTTGTCGAGAAAGCCCGGAAGGAAGCTGAAGAAATTGCAAAGCAAGAGAAAGCAGCAGCTAAGGGCGAAGCGGGAGATGATGAGGATGGTGACTACGAATTCTCTGGGTCTGAGGAGGATGCCGACGAGGCTGATGAGGAAGGAGAAGATGATGAAGAAGAAGAGGAAGGTGGCCTATTCGACGCCGAAGCTGGCGAAGACGAAGAGTCTGACGATGACCATCCCGAGGTCATGTCATCCGAAGAGACCAGTTTGCCAACCCAGAGACGGAAACGGCCTACTCGAGTCATTACTAGTGACGACGAGGACGAGCCTCCCGTACCCAAGACACCTGCCAGGATGACTAACCCAGTTGCAGTACAATCTGTAGAGCGACCGCATATTCCCGGCTTGCCTTCTGATGACTTGACTATGAGCTTAACCCAGGCATTCGCGGGAACTTTGGGTGATAATCAGCCAGACAACCAGGCGGGATCTACAATTCCTCATTCGTTGCCTGATCCAGTCGATGGTCGACGAGGATCCGATTCACACATGATCATCAAGGATAGCCAAGAACAAAGGCTTGAACATACCGATATACTGGCGGGATATGCACAGTCTGAAATACGAGTTTCTGAATCCCCTGCTCCACGAGGGATGTCCCAGTTTTCTCAGATCCCGGACCCAACACAAGATGCTGGGTTTGTGCTATCACCATTTGATCCTTCGAAACGATTCATGAGTACACCCGCGTCCACAGTTGACACTGTTCTCATTAACCGGAACGAATCCCAAAATAACTCCCCTACTGTTGGACGGAAGGCTAAGCATCTGCATCGGGGACGGACAACTGGACTATCCGCCATTGAAGAGCAGAATGAAGGCGATTTTGAAATTGATGCCAGTGCGTTCGACGTTCTGAAGAAGGCGGCCAAGAAAAAGTCCACTGTCCCGTTTGATAAAAACAACAGTAAAGCGAGGGATGTGGTCGAAGAAGCTGCGGAGGAATCTGACGACGAATATGCTGGCCTTGGCGGCGCCAGCGATGAGGATGACGATGTGGAGGATGCATACGATCGACAGATGATTGACGACAATAGCGGAGAAACTGCCGACGAGAAACAATTGGCCGCTCTCAATGCGTATGTGATGCCATTCTGGATTAATATTGATGAGAACATATGCTGACCTTTCTGCAGACTCCATCAGAGAAATGCAGACGAGAAACAAGTAGCCAAGCTTCTCAAAGACATCACAACTGGTGCCCTTAGACGACGCAGACGGGGCGATGATGAGTTCGATTTGGACGATTCTGACGATGAGCTCCTTGCGCGTCGGCGAGAGAAACAGAGAGAATTTGCACGGATGCGAAAGGCGCTGATGGCTGACGAGAAGATTGGTGAAATTGCCGAGAACCCTAAGAAGGCTGCGTTCTTCAAGGCCGTTGAAGATCGCGATATGGACGACGATGGCCTCGATTTCCTAGAACCGGAGGAAAATTCTGAGTTCCAGGCAGAATCATCGTCGCAAGACGTGATTCCCGACTCACAACCAGATACGACTACCACTAGCGATAGCAACAAGAGGAAGAGGCCTCTTGAGCCTTCATCTGAAGAGATCAATAACCGACCTCCGCCTCATATGCGTCGCAAGCCGGCAAGTCTCATATCCAAGAAGCCAGCTAACCTTGCTGAGATCCGCGAAACCCTTTCCTTCCTGACCGAGACGCCTGAATATGACTCTTTCCACGAAGATGCAACTGTTGAAGACGACGAAGAACATGATAAGGATATGGATGGTGAGGCAGCGGATGAACAACCGTCCAACAGTCAGTCTACGGAAGAATTCGTTGCCCCGCGGCATCCACGCCGGACAAAGGGTCCTGTCGTGGATCGTCTTGCTCTGCTACGACAAGCATCATCTAACTCGGCCACATCTGCTTCCTCTAACACCCGATTTGCTTTCCAAACTGGCTCTGGGCCCGATCCCATCGGGTTCCGCCCACCCTTGCTTCGAAGGACTACGACGGGCTCTTCTTCCACCACCAGCAGCTCCTCCAAGTCGGACACATCGCGACGAGTATCGAAGCCTGCATCTGGTGCATCGGTTGCAAAGAAGGGCGCCGTTAACTACTATACCGCCGCCCGAGAAAAGGAACGTGAGCGGGAGCTTCGGGCCAGGACTCGTAACACTGGCACCAATATCACCGCTTTAGTGAACAAGCATGCTAGCAACCGACTCGGCGCTCTTGGCAGAACTGGGCAATGGGATTAATCCAAGGCATTCAGCCAACACTTCTTGTATATATGGTATTTGTTTTTGATGTTCGGTGTTCCGGAGCATGGATGTTTTCGCCGTCATGGTCATGAATGATAATTTGGCTAGATATTTCCGATGAATGGTGGCTGGGCGTGAATGATATTGGTTTGCATATCAAATTTAAATATCGCGTCTTGATATTAATCCTTTTCTTGTAATTCCACGGTCGTTGGATACTTCTTTCCACACGTCTGAAAAACCAGTCAACCTACAACCATCATTGTATATACTATGTGTAGAGTTTGCAATTAGCAACAATGAAGTAGATAGACCTCCACCATGCAATCACACCAGAGCACCCAACACGTTCGAATCAATGATAAGCCTCCAGCACAGGGATCAAATCCACGAGGGACCGAATCACATTGTCGCCATCGCCACTCCTGGCATCGTCTCCACGAGCAAGGAAATACCCATCCCAACCAGCTCCAAGGGCAGCCCTATAGTCCTTCTCAAAGTCATCCCCGACGTGAACACAAGTCCAGTCACTAGGGACATCAGCCCGAGCCAAAGCCTTCGCCTGCCTCATGGCCACCTCAAAGATCCTGGGACTCGGCTTCTCCACCCCAGCCTCGTAACTCGTAATAACCAGGTCGATATCCTTGACACTATCATTCATACCTGAGCCCTCCATCCCAGAAGAATCCCTTTCTTCAAACCCAGACAACCGCATACTATCAATCCCCTCATCAGCCCGACAATCTCCAACGCGCAACCCCAACGACTTCAACACCGCCGGAACCCGATCATCCGAGTTCGAAATCACCCCAACCAACACCCGGTCAAACTGACCCAACAACGCCCCCTTCTCTTTCACCGCCCGAATCCGCGAGAAAAAGGGCCCCACGTCGTCATACAGCGCATAACCCTCCTTACTCGCGAACCGATCAAGTAAATACCCGACCAATCCCTCGGGGAGGTCTATTTGACCCCGACTGTTGTTGCTAATGTTGGTTGCAGTGTTATTATTATAATATTCGGCCAGGACCCGCGAAAAAGTCCCCTGGATAATCTCCCCCCACCATTGCCGGGGTCCGCCGTAGTGGCCGCGGATGACGTCGGCGCGGCCGTAGTTCGGGCGCGCTTGGGACTGCGCTTTGAACACCGGTTTGAAGGCGGAGAGCACGCGCTCGGCCGTAATGGCCGTTTGGGGCAGCCCGAAGTGGTGCGCGGCCGACGCGTATTGTTCCGGTACGGATGGGCGCGGGTGGAAGAGCGTTTCGAACGCGTCCAGTGTGAGGAGGAGGGTGCGTGGTTTAGGAGCCATGGTTGTTTCTTTTTCTAAGATTTTGGGAAGAGGAGGGGGATTAAGGGGTTTGGATCATTGAGGAGTTTATCGAGTATGGGGAGCGCGGGGAGATTTGATGCGGTGACACATTTAGGTAGGTTAGGGTTCGGGTTCGATATCCAGTGAGGAGATTAGATTAGATTATCAAGTTGAGGAGATCCTGCCGAGTCATCCTTGAGGAAACTAAGGTAGTTGGATTCGATTCAATTCAATTGATATTCTACTGATCTACTATCAATTATTTCTTAATACTTGATTTCAGAAAGTGGGTGCACACGGCCCGAAACGTAGACTGTTAATTTGCTATATAGTAATCTATCGACCCTTATTGTTGAAACAAATAAAGCAAAGCAAATTCCGATGATGCCCAAAAGTCCGAACAGCAGTAGACACCAAAGTCGAAAGTAATCTGGTCAAACTCCTCTTTGATGAAGATATGACTGGGCACGGCTGGTGCAATTCGCGAAGCGTCGGACGTTTGCCTTCTCATCTGCACTTTACACCGTCTCCGGCACTAAGTCAGCTTTGTCACCCAACGCCTCGCCTGTCTGTACGAATTCATTGGCATAAATAGCAATGCCGGACGAAACCTGTGTGACCCCGTCCCGTCCCGTTGCCAGTTGCCGACCGTCCAGTACTTGGCCCAAGCATCTGTGTTATGATCGAGCCAGCTTTTAGTCATCTGAACTAAGCACTTGAGTTCTAGACGTTCTCGAACAGCCTAGAGCGTTACCCCGGACAGATGGACTAAGTAGATCGTAGGTGAACAGATCCACCTGCAGCCAGAATAGATCCAGGTTTGCTGGGCAAGATAAACCTGTACCTCCTGCGTGGTCTATTCTACGTACGGGGCAAAGTACCACTGGTAGAAACCTAAAATCAGCCTGGGCGACCCAAATCTTACCAGAGAAAACGGAAGTGAGACAAAGGAAGGGCCCCTGATCATTTCATGCTAGCCTCCTCCCATTTTTCAATATGCAATGTCTCCCATGTTGTGCTAATTACAGAGTATGCATGTTATTTTGTCCAAGTCTTAGTAGCCAGCCATCAGATTTCCGAATATCCCACCCTGCGGGGCCAGAAAAATAGGCCTAGCAAATGATTTCTCTTAGAGGAATGTCTCTAAGGTGCTTAGTACTAATACCTCCGTAGGTTGGTGACCTTGGCATTCTACGGAACTTTTTTCCTGTGAGAAACGTCACAAATACTTTTAAAGCACATGCAAATCTACGTGTCTATTCTTACCTTCACAATTGGTGGCGTAGCATACGGAAGGCAATGTTGACCTGCATTGACCATGGAGGGGTCTTACTGCGGTCGAATCGCTGATGTAGAATACATCCACAGAGGAGGGGATAGGAGAGGGATATAATATTGACATTCAGTTCAACCAGGCAACATAGATGCAAATCGGTACTCCGTACAATGGATAGAAATCTTGATGGCTATGGAATCCACAGAATTCTTGCCAACGCTGAATCCCAACCCCACCTATATAGCCATTACTATAGTCCACGGCAGAGTTATGGCAGGGTTTTTACAACATAGCAAAGTTATCGGCATCAGGTAGTCCGAAAACAGTCTACACTGCAAAAACAGCTTGACTATCAGCCCTCAGGCTGCTGGAAGCTTTGGACCATTGCTCACTAATGTTTAGAACAACAGTGCTTCTGTTTCCTTGCCTGCCTGCCACTTCAAGTACCACAGTTATCACTAGCATCAACGGGCTTACCGACCATAAATGATGGAGTTAGAAGATTGTAGTTCCTTAATATACCACAATTACCTCATTTGGCCATCTCAGGATTTCTTTATTGCATATGTGTCTCGACAAATAACTCATTCAATGATGGACAGGAGCTAATTATAGTAGCGTGGTACACAAAAAAACCTGTAAGATTAACCCTTGCGAGTTAGCCACTTGGAAGTAGTGTGTAATTGGATGATATCTGGTGAAGCGATTCGATTAGGGTTCACTTGCCATTCGATCTGATAAGGATCAGGAAATGTGGAGACCACACGTGTGTGATAAGATCGAAGTGTCGGCACTTGACCAATTCTTCAGACACAGATTTGGTCGTTCTAGGCAGCCCTATTTCCACTCAAGCTTTCTCCTTCAGACGGGACGCCGACCAATAAGCCGATCAACTCGGATTCTGTCTGGTTTCACGGGTGACGCGGCCGTCGTTGTCATCCCCCCACTTGGCGTGACGATAGCTCCGAGCCGGCGGACTATAATAAAGGAGCTGTAGCTAAGTCATTTGGGTTTCTCACGAGGCTCAAGAAAGGAGAACGGGAAGGGAAATACGCGAGTCATGGCAGGGCCTACTATGCCTGTGGTTCTTCTGAGAGCCTTTGTACTGCTTTTCGCACTCCATGTCCCCAGCATCATCGCCTCGGAGCTCAACTTTCCACCCAATGCCAATCACATCTTCAATGCGATTCATTCCTCCATGCGCCAGTGGGGGTCCTCGTTGCACCATAATGGTATGTCCTTTTTCCTGGCCACCGTGCCGAAAGGAACCCAACTGTACCACGGAAATTCCTCCCCGGGCCCAGTGAACGGAACGGAATGGTTAGCCTTCGAGCCAGAGCATGCTATGGTCTTCGCAAGACCCCATCATGGCCCTCCCCCGGGCAAAGGTCCATACAAGCGGTCCCAACTGCCGCTCAAGCCGGAACATATGGAATCAGGAAAAGATCAAGATAGGGATCAAGATAAGCCAGGATACCTCCATACATACACGGCCGCAAAGGACTTGCGACTACTGTACCTCGACGGAATGTCGGCTGCCAAAACAGAAAATGGAACACTCGACTCTCAGGATCGGATTCTGCTTCGCGATGCACTCGAGGGTAGGCCCGGAATGCTGGAGGATGAACGGGCGGAACTTATCTGCCGCATGGCTCGGGACAACTACCAAGGCCGTCTGGACGGTGTCATCCGTATGGAGGCCGGGTTCGAGATAATCCTTTGTGATTTCGCCAGGGACCTCGATGAGATTCGGGTCACTCAGGTGAAGTCGGATAGAAAAGGCCCCGGCCCGCGTGGAGGCAAGGGCAAGAAGGGCCCCCTTTTTGGGGCAATGCTCTGGTACAAAGCTATCGCAGCACGGTACGATGGAATCGGGAGCAATAGGGTCATCCTCAACTATGACCATTTTGTGACGGCGTATGTCTATGGTCTGGATTTGTTTCGTTCCTCGGGTAGCAATAGCAACGTACTGCCCCGGTTGCATCATCTCTTTGCCGATGAGCTGGGCCCGATTCGGAGCGATCTGGACCATCTCATCATGAACCATGATCCTAGTGAGACCTCATTTAACTGGCAGGGAGTTGCAGATATGGTAGTGCAACGATACGCGCAAGAGCTGAGCTACCTGGTCTCTGGACAGCTATCAACGCTGCAGGCACTTCACGAGGAAATCGAGAACAGTCTCGGCCCCTTCATCGACTATGACGATCGCAATACATCTCTGGAGGCCCACCGGTGCAGCATGCAGTTTGTACCTGCAGGTGCTCCCTCAGATGGGCTGGCCAGCGATGCCGTTCGATCCGTTACCCACAGTATCTGTTCGGCGATGATCGAGGCCTGGAAGCAAACAGACTACGACACAGCGGTCGCCCAACTTCAGAGTCTGATGGACTACTTGTCCTGGACCACATGGAAGGAATGTAAGGGATGTGCCGACAACGAAATTTGCGTGATTCCCATTTGGCCCATGGGAACAGTCGAGGACTATGAGCACCCGCAGTGTCGAGATGCGTCGAGGCCGAGTGGCGAGGGACGACGCTACTGGGGTGAGCCTGGAGGTCCCAGAGGTCCCGGAAGGCCTGAAGGACCCCGACAGTCAAGCTGGCTACAGAGAATGCTACACTACCTGCAGGCAATGATTCGATAGAGTCGTGCACCTATTTGTCAACGAGCGATGACCCTGTAAATTCTGCCGGATGCACCGTTGCGGGATATTCTTTTTTTTTTCTTGCCATGTATTTCACTTACCCTATTTTTATTCTTTGACTATAGAATCCACTGCTATCAGGCTAGAGTTTCACACCCAATTGGGGCCAAATCGCGCATCTCCCAGTGATGCATCACATCCGATGCGGGTGATCTACTGCGCCAAGCTCAATAGTCTATGCAGGTCCATCCCCAAAAGTGCACTTAACCTCGGCGATCACATCCATTCGGACGAACGGCCCAATACTACTTTAAGCTTATTATGGAGCTTTTACTAAACATGAATGTGGATATCTTTGATCCGCTATACCCTTTGCCACTGGGGTGGTTATAGCATGAGTCTATATGGCAGGGATCGAGAGCCTCGACCAAGAATTAATCCCTGACCATGGCCAGCCACATTGGACTTACCAATGCATGTCTTAGACAATGAACACAAATCACCCCTGAAGATGGAGACGATTTGAGGTACTCGAGAGGACAAGATGCCCAACGGACAATTCTACGAGATGTGTCGCCAGAGATACCCTCTAATCATTGCCATAGGGTTGACATGTCAATATTCCCGTGTGAGGTAGAGAAACGTATCTACGAAGTAAATCGAGCTTAGATAGGTACAGTACGAGATTGTCTTTAACAGTCAAAACATGCTATTACCCTTTTGCCGGTTGGCCTAAATGTTGTCCTTTGAAGCACCCGATAATCGCCAGGCCCATGGGCTTGTCACTGATCCGCCACTTCCGATGAGACTGGATAGTTCTGAATAGTCACTGCTCGGCAGGCAGGTACCCATGCATCTGGCCATGCTAATGCAAAGGAAATAAGGCGATCAGGAGACAAGAAGACTGTATAAATATGGTCTTGTCGCGCTTCCACGTTGCTCAACAGCAAGCACTCATTCCTTCACCAGGCTTTCTGGTTCTTCTTTTATTCTTCCATTGACAGTTATCTAACAGTCACTCTTTTTGATTGTACATTCTTTATTCCTTCCACCATGAAAGCCACCATCCTAGCTACTGTCGCTTTGGCGGCATGCAGTGCCGCCAGCCCCTTGGGCAGCGCTCACCAAGCCCGAGGCCTCCTTGGAGCTTCATCCGAGCCTTGCGACTGTGACTCGGGCGACGATGGCAACACTCCTGAGGTGCCATCTCTGCCTCCTTCGGAGGGCCCTGGTCCCCTTCCAGTCCCAGTCCCAGTCCCAGTCCCGGTTCCTGGTCCTGGTGGAGTCCCACCCGTTCCTGGCATTCCTGGATTGCCTGTTCCTAGTTTTCCTGGACTGCCTGTCCCTGGAATTCCTGGATTGCCTACTCCCGGCCTTCCTACGGTCCCTGGACACCCGAACGATCCTGAAGACCCTGAGGATCCCGAAGACTGTGACGACCCTGAGGATCCAGAGGACCCAGAGGACCCAGAAGATCCTGAGGAACCTTCCAAGGGCGGTTGTGACGACGACGGCTGCCACGGAACCGGACACCTCATCCAGGACCTGGGCCCGCAACTCAACGACGTCCTGACCATTGTTGGTGAACACACCGAGGAGCTTTTGCTCAAGCTCAGCCCCGGTGTTGCTGGTCTTCTGACCGGACTCGGCCTCCCTGGCTTGGGCCAGCCCGTTGGTCACATCATTAAGAGCGCTGCCACCATTGGCGAGCTCATCGCGGACTTGGGTGAGCCCGTCGAATGCCTCTTGACCGTTGTGGGACAGGACGGTGGATTCCTGTTGATTGAGCTCGAGCCCTCCATCACCGGACTCCTCACCGGACTCGGACTTCCTAGTATCGCTCAGCCCGTGGGCAGCATCGTCGGCACCGTCGGCCAGCACCTCAAGCGCGGCGATGGACTGCTCGAAGACCTTGCCCCCGTCGTGAACTGCGCTCTCAAGGTTGTTGGCGAGGACTCCAAGATCCTCCTCATTGCCTTGAGCCGGCCCATCGCTAACCTGCTCACTGGCTTGGGCCTCGGTCAGCTTGCCGGGCCTGTCGGCACTGTCATCCAGTCCGCGGCCACCGTGGGTGATCTCGTCTACGACTTGGGTGACCCTGTGGAGTGCATTTTGACCATCATCGGTGAGGACGGAGGTGCTCTGCTGGTTCAACTTTCTCCTTCCATCGCCGGTCTTCTTATCGGCCTCGGACTGCCCGGTGTTGGTATCCCCGTTGGCCAGGTGGTGCAGACCCTTGGCGAAGCTTTGTAGTATGTCTTCCGATTCCTTCTCTCACCTCAGACGTGTGTACTAAGTAACATCTACCAGATTATACTCTCGTCGGACGTCCGAACCATGCCACGCGGAGCAACCGCCACGAACGAAACAGAGTTTGACCGAACAGGGACTTGATCAGCGGTCTGATGGATCTACATGTGTATATAAATGAATGTATGTACATTATTAGACTAGAAATATAGTACCATCGGAATAAGCACCTAAGCCCGACTATCCTACCAAGTTGTCCGAAGACGATAACGCGCCGTCGGATGTAAATTGATTCGCCCCACGGGGGAAAACTGCCGACGTGGAGAGGCGACGAGCCAGTTTTCTTCCCCAGATCGACCTCGCGCCATGGCCAAGCAGCAGAATGCTAATTCAAAACGCAGTGCTCAACCTCGTCACCATTGTGGGATTTGTGGGGAAGCGTGGGAATCGGGGATAAATCTTTTCCCGCCTTATGGCCGAGGACCGTGCCCGTCATTTTAAATAAATCTACAGCTGAACGACTATCTATCTCATTATTGAGACCAAAGACGAGAAAGTCAAGACATTCACACAATTATTTCACAATGGCTAAGTCACCGCAAGATCTTGAAATCGCCATTCTGGGCGCTGGTGCGTGAACACTGTTACTTCCCCCCCTCCCCGGGAGCAAGAGGAATAAGTGGAAATCATTAACATTGCGGGATATGTTAGGTATGGGAGGGCTTACATGCGCCCTGGCCCTCGCCCAAGAAGGCTTCAAGAATATCGATGTCTATGAATCGGCCTCGGACCTGGGCTTCGTTGGAGCGGGTATCCAACTGGCGCCGAACATGGCCCGAGTGCTGGACCGCCTGGGCGTATGGAAGGGAATTGAAGCCGAGGCCGTCAATATCGAAGAGACCAGCGTACGAGGTATGGCATCGCGCATCTTCCCCTATTCTCTTCCAAATGAGTGCCAATTATGCTGACATTCGGTCCTTAGTGGGTGCCACCGACTCGGAGTTGGCGCATGTTCCGCTGCAATATATCAAAGACACATATGGATACCCGCACATGGTTGGCCACCGGTCATCGTTGTCCAACGGACTGTACCAGGGCTGTCTCCGCTACCCGAACATCAAGTTCCATTTCTCCACGTCTGCCGCGGACGTCGACTCGTTCGGCCCCCGGCCCTCCTTCACAGCGACGCCGCGCGACTCCAGCCAAGCGCCGTACCGCGTCGAGGCGGACGTGCTGCTGGGCGCCGACGGCATCAAGAGCAACACGCGGGTCGCCATGATGGAGAAGCTGGGCATCCAGACCGGCGTGAAGGATACGAACCAAGCAGCGTACCGAATCATGATCCACAAGGACCAGATCAAGGACGACCCGGAGCTCCTGGCGCTGATCAACGGGACCAAGGTGACGCGCTGGATCGGCGAGAAGCGGCACATCATCGCCTACCCCGTGTCCAACAACACCATCTACAACCTCTCCACCGTGCAGCCCGACACCAACTTCGCGGCCGCCACCAATGCCACCTACACGACGCGCGGCTCGAAGAAAACCATGTTGGAGGTCTTCGGCGATTTCTGCCCCATGGTGCAGCGCATGCTGAGCTACGTCCCCGAGGGCGAGGTCTGCGAATGGAAGCTGCGCGTCCACGAGCCCCTGGAGACGTGGACGCACGAGTCCACCGCGCTGGTCGGCGATGCTTGCCACCCGACGCTGCCTCATCTTGCGCAGGGAGCCGCGCAGGCCATCGAAGACGGCGCCGTGATTGCCATCGCGTTGTCCCTGCTACCGGATACAACCCCCGCCTCGATCGCGAAGGCGCTGAAGGTATATGAGAAGGTTCGTAAGGAGCGGGCGTATGCGCTGGTCGAGCTGGCGGCTGCATCTGGTCGGGCTCTTCATTTGGGTGACGGCGCTGCCAAGGAGGAGCGAGACAAGCAGTTCGCGGCGTTGAAGAAGGGCAACGGACCCGTTCCGGATAAGTGGGCCGATGCGGATGTACAGAAGATCATCTATGGCTTTGATTGCCAGCTGGAGACGCGGGAGAAGTTCAATGAGTATTTCGCGTAAGCATTTGCTCTTTTCTTAGTTCTTTGATTGATGTATGATGTATTTAGAGGCTGATCTGATAGAAGGTCTCCGCGAGACGCTAAATTAGCATGAATATAGACATAGCATAGCGAGATGAATGTACGGTTATGAATTCAGCTGGAGTTTCAACTTGTAGATCTAGTTGGACAAGTGTTGTCTATTGTAGGTCAGCTAACCAAATGTTGGATATAAGCCTTATTCAGGCAGCCATGTGATCACGATATCCTGGAAGAGCGAGAAGTGAGCCAAGATTCTCAAGACGAATTTTGACAATAGTACGCAGCTTGGACCCGTCAAAATCCCCTCATATACGGAGGAGACTGGTTGAAACCTGAAATTAGAGTACGCGGTAGTGTTGCCCATCATCTGGGTACGTGTACATCTCAAACTCCAACCAAATCCACCGGGCATTCACTTGACTTGATAAGAGTATCATGGAAGGGCTGACTGCGGCCCACATCCCAAGCATCACTTGCCTGGAAAGGGGGTGATCATCGATGCACAAACCAGTTCGTCCCACGAAAGCAGCATATTGGCTTCCTCGACGATGCTGGCGGCGGGAGGCTTGCGGGTCTACCGAATGACGCACAGCCTGTTAGATGGCAGGAAATAAACACAAAAGATGAAGAGCTCGTCCGTACATCCACTCAAGCCACTGATTGGCTTGGAGCCTTTCTTCAGGCCTTTACTCTGTACATACTAGGCTCCTACAGTGGGTACGCTGATCCAGATATGTCGGGCAGTTCCGGGAAGATGCCTTGGCTGTCCTTCAATCGGCTACCTACCAATCACCCTTCGGACAAGCGAGAGCTGAAAGACAGCATTGCTACCAATTCTAGGGGTACGGGTTACTGGAGTCTAGACCTAACTACCTATAATTTAATTTCTACCACTAAAACCCGGCCCGCGGCTGTCCACGGGTCCTGCCGATGTTTATAGACACCTCATCCCAGTGACCCACCCTACTAACAAAGCTACCAGGCTGAACCGGAGAAGGTATATTGGGCTGAGTAGTACTACTGTATAAGGGTTTCCCTTTTCTAGAGTGAGCAGGCATCTTCCGGTTGTGGTCAAAAGACCGCCATGATGGTGGAGGGTCTTTGGCATTCTAGGCCCTTTGCATTATGCCAGCCGGTCGATCAGCCTATTGACATTGGCTGACCTCTATAACTAACGCCAGAGGAGTGAAGCTCATCTCGGGTGGCCTTGTAGCAGCCAGTTTGACTGGCTTGCCCAGCTGACGTAGGCTGACATGGCTTGAACGTACAAACCCCCTTTAGACAATATCTCTCTGATACTATAGGCCTTATGCCTATGCCGATCTTTCTGCCCGTGAACCGATGCAAAATCCCACTGAAGATAGACATTTGAGTTCCCAGATATCCAATTGGCTGCTTAAGTGATGAACTATGCTATAGGTGCAAGCCTGAGGGCATGGGGTTGCACTGCATTAGAGTGGGCATGTAGGCAGCCGCTTTTAGGTAGCTGATAGGGCTCGTGCGTAGGTGAACTGTGAACTGTACGCGGCCGGTAAAAGCAAGCATAATTCCGAGTACACGTTTATTGGGGTGTCTCTCGATATAGCGAGGTACTTTTCTGACATATTTAAGTTTTACTATCCTATTTTATATTTTATCTACACCATCACCGCAGCTCTCCAACTTTCCAACTCAGGCATGTTTCGCAGATACTAGTCCTTATAGCTGTACATTTCAGGCAAACCATCTACTAAACCCTGTTTATAAAAGCAGTGCCGGAAGCTAAACACGATGAACCTACATGAACAAGAGCGAACCGAAGATTTGCCCTTGACATGGGCGATTATCACCTTTGTCCAGAAAGACACTATTGGCAATTCCACCTGGATCAGAGCTATCCCTAATCGACTGCCCCAAAACGAGCGAAATCTGTGGATTGTGGGTCTCGAGGGAGGGCTGACCGATAGCAGGAGGGAAATCCGCTGGTCTATTCGAATCGATCTAGATGAAGATGGGTTTCATGTGAATACTGAGAAGGCGTGGAAAAGGCTAAACCAGAATCAGTGGGAAGGAGAAAACTGGAGAGTCCAAAAAGATTGTCTCGATCCTCCTGCATTTTACAAGAGGGTCAGGCAGAGTTTCTACAACAGGACCGGCTATTACGATGAAGGGAGATCTCATGAAACCTCCGCCAATATCTTGAAGGGCATGTTCATAGGGGGGACGTATGTCGACGATGTCTAATTTTCTGCTACCGTATAGCCATCGTGTGTTCAAATTAGGATTGCTTGTTGGTATATGAAATCCCTTGAGGTGCCAAATAGCGCTCATCCTGATGAATAGCATCTAGTGTTTCTGCCACCCGCCATAAAATATATATATCTACTCAAGTCGTGCGATATCTGTTGTTGTATAGTACTACAGTGTAGGAAGTCATCGAGAGATGTAGATTATCTATCGCACTGTACTGAGCACATTTAACTTATAATATAACTTATCTGAGTATTACATACCAGATTCTAATTGATCTAGCCCTTGTTGAATGGCTCTTTGGGCAGCTTTGGAGGCATTCATGGAATTAGGGCTAACTGACAACAATGAATCATACAGACATAGTCGGCGTGGGGTCACCAACAGCCTCGGCTCATCTCGGGTTAATTACTCAATAGATTAATTTCCAGAAGGACGCACGCCCTATACGATAGATATATCACACGCCCAAAAAAAAAAAAAAAAAAAAAAAAAAAAAAAAAAAAAAAAAAAAAAAAAAAAAAAAAAAAAAAAAAAAAAAAAAAAAGGCCGATGGCCGACGGCCGAGGCTGAATCAGCAAGAATCCCCCGCCACGTCGGCAAACGTCGGCGCTCAGACTCTGTGGACTACAGCATATCCTCTCCGTCGGCCACCTTCAATTAAGATTTGCGATGGATCAGTCTCATAGGCGCAAAAATCATGTCTGCCCGTCCCTATCGCTCCAAGAGGCACCGCCCTTGCGATCAATGCCGTGAAAGGAAGCTCGGATGCCAGACGGACGGCGGTCTACCTTGTGTTCGCTGTCGTTCGGCCGATCTGCCATGCACCTTCGAGCATCCACCCCCTAAGAGGCCTCGACGTGATTCATCGGGTCATATGGTAGATCCTGCGGGCTCTGTAGCATCATCCATTGACCCGGAATCGTCCTTCTTGCCACCGCCATGGGAGGAGCCGCCCAACCATCCGGCGTCTCATATTCCCTCCCGCGGTGGTTCTGTCAACCCTGCGGTCCACCACCAGCCAGCGTTTGCTCCGCTAGAGGATTTGCCTACGAATGGGGCCGTCTCCCCTGCAGTGTCGGGCCATTTGGTCACAGTTGGCCGATCTCCCACGCAGTTTGTGCAGAGCCTGGACCAGCTCGAAGGCTTTTCGGCCCATTTGTTTGGGGCGTCTGCCGAGTCGGACCCTTGGCTCCTTCGGCATTGCTCCTTTGATGATGCCGGTGTGAAGTGCTTCTACAAGGTCCACTTTCGTAATGCAGGCGGTGTTCCGACGGCGGATAAAATTCCGGTTCATTTCATGCTTGCGGCAGATGATTTGGCTGCGTCGGCCAAGCAGGAGACATCCTGTCGCTTCAGCGGCGACACGACCCGGGAAGAGCTCAATCGCTTGGTTCCACCTGATTATGGACAACGACTGGTGTCCCTGTAGGTTCTTCGTGCCCTGAGCTCCAAGGTCATGTGCTAACGTGGACAGGTTCATCAAATATGTCTGGCCCGCATTGCCGCTCATCTCCCGCTCGCAGATGGGGCTGACTCCGTCATGTTCGATACCCGAGCCATGGGCTCTAGAGCGCACGCCCGTGCATTTGCTGGCAGCGGTGTATGCATCTGCTCTACCGTTTGCCGCACATGACGATTACCTGTGCGTGCTGCAAACATATAACGCTCCCCCGGCGGACAGGCTCTGGCGCATGGCCTATGAGTTAATCTCCGAGGAGATCCACACACCACACCTGGCGGTGCTGCAGACAGCCTTGTTGTACCTGCATCGGCCACTTGACGAGGCCCGGGCGAGCATCGCTGACACCCCGTTTGTCTGGTCATTTGTCGGCACCGTGGTGGGTCTAGCTGAATCATTGGGCCTACACATCGAGTGTCGCATGTGGGGGATACCCGCATGGGAGAAACGTCTGCGGCGCCGGCTGTGGTGGGCCATCTATGCCGAAGACAAATGGCGCAGCTTGCTGATGGGTCGACCGCCGTATATCCATCGGAGCGAATGGGATGTGAGTGAGCTTGATGGTGCGGACTTCCTCTATCACACCAGGGGTGCTTCTTCATCGTCATCCGGGGTCCACCAGCCGCAAGATCCGGTGCCGTTCCGCTACTTGGTGGACCTGTCTGGCATCGCAGAACAGATCTATGAATCCTTCTAGTAAGTATACGAGGATGGTGTCGGCCTTGGCGCATACTAACAGTGAGACAGCACCCTCCGCAAATCACAATACCTATCGGAAAGGTTTCGTGTCTCACACGACACTGGCCGGCCCTTGCTGGAGAAGCTGAATGACTGGTACTCCTCACTGCCGGAAAGCTTCCGGCTGCCCAACTGGAGCAAGTCTGTCAGCGGACTTGCGCCGTATCCCACCTCGATCCACTTTGCCTACCTGATCCTTGTCCTGTTTGTCTACCGCGCGCTCCTTCGGCCGATGGCTCGCTCCTCCAGTCCGCCGTTAATTTTCGACCTGGACGAGATCCCCACGAACCCCTCCGCCTTGGATACAGCTGTAGATGATTCACCCGTGCTCGACTTCCTCAACATGCCCGAGATCGACTCCTTCCCTGCGGTAGAGCTGTCCGACCACAGCACGGGCGAGACGACCCTGAACTCAGCGGAGCGCTGCGCTTCGATAGTAATCAGCTTCACGCGGCGGCTGACGTCGAGCGACTTCACCGGATTCTGGTATTCATGTAAGTCACACCTGTGCCCAACCATCCCTGCACGTGGATACTGACCAACGGGTCTGTGCAGGGTCTCGAATCGGCTTCGCAACAGTCTCCAACTTCACGCTTCTCCTCTTAGTCCAAGCGCCTAATGCGGAACGAGCCGCCAAGGGCAAACAGCTTGTTGACTCCTGGCTGCGCGTGCTCCGCTGCCAGAGCCAGAGCTTCCCCACCATGAAGCTTGGCTTAACGCGACTGGACGCCATGCACTGGGTGGGACTTGGGCAGACATTCGTTCTCCCCCAGCACGTGCAAGAAGTCATTCAATCACCGGGGGATTGATAATTCTTCGGCCAATCCTTCCTGCCTCAGGTGTACCATGGTACGGAGTCCGGCAACCGTGGACTCGGCCATCGGCATCGGAGTTTTCGTATGGGCAACCAGTTCTATAAGAATGGGCTCCCTGACGGGGTACTGTAGATAGCAGATAATAATCATAGTCACAAACACGCAATCAACCTGTACATACAATTCAACCGAACATAGTTGTGGTCAAGATGCCTGACTTCCTCATCGACCTTCTCAAGCGCAACAAGTCTGCTGCCAGCAAGCAGCCGCGGGACGTTCTGCCGGACTCAGCCTCGGAAATGACATTGATCGAGTAAGCTAACCGAACTATTTTCTCCTCTATCTTCAAATACAATGCTGACAAATGTCAGGAAAGCAAACGCTAGACCGCAGCACGTGCAAAAGCACACAAACAGACAAACAAACACGCGTTTCAATCGTAAGTCATCTCTACGGTATATATATATTACCAGCCCTGGCTAACGAATATAGCGTCCGATCTTTGTTTCGGCTCATGCTGCCGGAACTGATCGAGAGTGAGGTTTCCAAAGGAGCTCGTGAACTGCCGCCATCGACATACCCAGCCAAACCCCTTACCTAAATCCCCTGCATCGTCATCTGCCAGAAAGACAAATAGCAGATCATGGTATACGCCGCCAACATGTAAAATCGTTTATACGTTTTGCGATCGAAGGCAACGCCGCCGTGCCAGACGCACCGGAATCCAACTATGCATGCGAAGATATTGTGCAGGATGCCTGTTATGGCGAGTCCCGCTACCGTCCAATGTTGATGAGGGAGGGCAGAGCCCTGGGTGTAAGAAGAGGTGGCAACGAGGAGCACAGCGCCTGACCCGATGACGAGCATTGCGGTGGCTGCTCGGAGGAGTCCTTCTCCCTTGGGTCCAACAACGACCGGAAGCGTCCGTCTCTTCATGCGTCGGTCACCCTCGGCATCGTGAAACTCCTGCACGTGTACTGTGGCCACCACCCACGCCGAGAAGAGTAGGAGGACCTTCTTCGGCATGACCGGGAAGGATGGGATCTCGCTGTGAACGATAGTGTCCACGAGTCGGAACATGTTGTACGCGCCTATCGACGCAAACGCATTCCGGAAGACCCAGTGGTTGATCTTCGGCCACACGTAGCAAAAGTATACCCAGGCTTGGTATATTCCGAATAGGCCGGCGGCTTCCGGACCCGCAAGGTGGCTGGCAATGACGGGACAGATGGCCCAACTCAGGAGCCAGCGTCGATAGGCCCCGGGGATGCAGAGCAAGCCTGCCGGGATCGGGCGGTGCGGCTTGTTGGCGATGTCTTCATCGACGGAGAGGACTTGGTTCACGATCTCGAACACGTACAGGTGGCAGAGGAAGCAAACGAAGGTCTTGAGGAGCACCAGGGCCAGCTGGGTCCAGGGGGTCATCAGGAGGAGGTCCGGCGCAGGCAGAAAGCGAGCGATGAGGCCGATGATGGGCAGGACTAGGCCTTCACGGATGTTGGCACGGAGTAATCGTTCCGTGATGAGAAACTCATGATGCAGAACTTGGCGAATGGACTCATGGACGCTTCTTGGGTTTACATGGTCACTTGAGAGAGGCTGGATGGTCGACCTGGAGAGAGTTAGGCACTGGGTGGAAGTGGTGGTCATCGTGATATTCAGAACATTTGGTAGGATACAAACAATCAATCAATCAAGTATTGATCAATTAGATATTCCTCGTCCACAATCTCCTAATGCCCCCTGGGCATACCGCACTACACCAGATATAAACCACGACCCGGCAATCCGGAGAACTCCCGCTGCAAACCTTAGAGTACATCAGTAGCGTTTCCAGGACTGGTCGACAATTGACCACGTCAAACAGTTAAACCTGCTTCTTCAACGAGCCCCACCTGTCAAATGCCTAAGTGACAGACCCATTTCGGGGCCGCTTGACGAGAAAGTGGCCCCCTCGACTATCATAATGGAGCTCGCTAGGGGCCGGGATTTGCATCGCTGGCGTCCCAGCGGTGCTTCCTAGCGTCTGCAAGTCGTCCATTCAGGCACATTCAGTGGCTCCATTGTGCCTTCGCTACTAGGCTAGCGCTCAGACCTGGTAAAGGCGGTCCTCGGCTCTGGGTTGGCTACAGCAACGGTCCGTTTGCTAGTTTGAGGTGTTAACCCGTCCTCTGGGATTCGAAGTGGATCTCCGCTGCATTCTGACTAAAATGGCGTGGAAATGGGGCTAGCCCAGGGCTGACGGTTTGTTATTTGCTGCATGTCTTTCTTTGTCTCTATCCTGGATGGTGCGGTATTATAATGCATGGGTTGAGATGCATTGTGCTTTATCCATATTCAAATTCCCGCGCATATATTCTCGATTGTTAGCCATTCCTTATCACCGAGTAGTATGAAATTGATATGGCATGATTCCTTCTGCTTCACACGGTTTCCAGGCTGAGCACGGTCCACTCGAGTCTCGGCTGAAGGATTCAACCAGCCAATCGGTCTGTCCAGAGCACGAGTGATTTGAGTATCTCATGCGTTGTCAGCCAATCTTTCGGGCCAAAGATAACGCTGATCATGAGGATCAGACATTCTGTCGGGTATTTACACTGTGGAAAATGGGAAGGGATCAGCAATTGCATACCCCCAAGTGTTCATACCATGGATATAAGATCAATCCCTGATTTCTTCCATGGATGCATCGCACCAGTCCTTTCACTTATCGTATGATGTAATAACTAATCCCTTATAGTTAATGATAATCCATGTCCTTAGAACTGCAAGTACTCCCCGCAAAACCATTATATTAACGGTCGTTATACGCAGAGCTAGGAACCGGGCAAACGCCGAGAGTCTTTAGAGTTGGATACCCCTCCGAGGCTTCGCTGGACGATTACTGGTCTGGCAAATGGTTTCAATGCATCGGTAAGCCTGTTGACAAATACTTTCGCTGCCTGTTGTTTGCCTTCTCCTTTGAAGAAATCGACCTCTGCTTATTGTTCATAATCCTGGGGTCCTTGGGCCGCACAGCACAGGATCCTCCTGCGGAGAGTGCATGATGCAATGCACTGTTGGTGTCAGGCCCTACAGCGGAATTTGGACCGAGAATAATTGATCGGTGGCTTTACGCTCCTTTCCATGTCCGCGCAAATCGAATGATTTTTGGCTGTTTACTGATACTCGTGACGGAACGCTGGTGGCGAGCGATCAAGATCGGCCAGCTGTCCGTTGGTGGCCATACACGTCAGCTTGTCAAAGTCCTCGGATATCTTGGCTGCGTATGCCTTGTAGACCGTGCAGGTGCTGTTCCTTGTGGAATTCTATGGCCGAGAGCTTAGCTCTACATCGTTCAGGAATAGGAATCCGGTAGCAGGCACCTTGTACAACATATGCTGCATGCATATACATCAAATATGCAGAAGCAATTGCATTTGTCATGTCATTATATAGTGCTCAGCGATGTTGCCAAGATCACCGGACTCGTTTGAGTCTGTTGTGCTAAGTGTGAGTGACTTGTCATATAGCAAATGCTCAATAAAGTCCCTCCTGCCTTAGGTGTCAACCGCTGTCTGACGGGGATTAAGGAGATAAGAGATAAGTCACCTGAAGATAAGATCCCATCGATCATCATCGTCGTCATTCATCCATTCCATCATCAATTTCCCATCTCAACCCCGCGGGTTCACTTGAGAAATGTCACAACTCAACCCTGCCCCGCCCTCGACTTGCCTCAATGCCCCCTTCTAGCGTAAGTAGTCAACAGAATGCCTCCCCCAACAACAACATCCATCTCACTATCTCATCACAGACACCCTTTCGCGTTCCCTCTTCTCGTCGTCCCAATTCCTCCGCTCGGCCCAACACTGGTCCCCAGTTCGCGTCAACACCCCGTTTCGTCCTCTCCCAGCAGACCCCTCGCTCAGCCGCACAGGTACATGGCAAAGATAACCTCACTGATGGCGATGAATCTTCTCAATCCACCCCTGTCGCGAATATACGGGCCGCCACAAGAGACCAAGATATAAGGCCAACCCAGCGCCAGAAAGAGACAATTGAAGACTCCGATGACGAACTAGATTACAACGGAGGAACCCACCGGGCCTTTCCAGACGACATCACTGGGAGCCCAGACCTGGATAGTAGTCCACCAGGCGACGCAGGCGAGCTGGAGGCCGAATTCGAAGCTCTCTTCGGACCGACGACGACACGAACAAAGCGAAGACGCGCATCGCTTGACCATGAGACACCCTTCACCCAGCGGAGGAAACACGATGATGATATAATTCAGACGTCTTCCCCAGAGGGACCATCGCCCACGAAGGATCGCACTCAACAACAATTCCAAACTCCGAACCAGATATATCCCGACATAATCCCTCAGCGAACCACCACTACTCCCCAACATTCAACACCAGCAACCATCAAACCCTCTCAACGCAACAACCCTCGCTTCATGTCATCAGCCTCCCAGGCATTCTCAAGTACCCAGCCCCAGCCCCAGCCAAGCTCTCGACCACTCCCCTTTGCTACACCGGGACCGACCTCCCCGAAACGGAAACCGGCGTTCGTTCTGCCGCGCTCGCCATCCCCATCTCAGGCCGCTGAAGATCCTTCCGCTATCCCTACCCCATTTTCACCTTCATCTCACACGCTCCGTGGTCGTGGCCGTCACCGCTCTGCAGCCCCTAGTTATCTACCCGGCGGCATGGCGGCTGAAGTGCGCAGCTGGATATTAGAAATGAGCACCAAGCGAGAACAGATGCACATGAACCATCGGAACCGCACCGGAGCCGGACCTGATCTGCAGAAGTATTTCCTCGTCATTCGTATCGCGGATGTCCGCCAGTCCGCCCTCGCTAGTTCTGGGCCGCTTGCTTTCGTGCGAGGCAAACCTGTGACGTCACTGGATGATGATGAAGACGCTTCTGGTAATCGTGAGGGCAGTGAGATGAGGAGCATTCTTCTTTTAGGGGCCCCGCGCTCCCAGCCGGCTGGGTTGTCGTCGCAGTATCCAGATGCTAGTCGTGTTCCTGGACTGGTTAGGGGGAATCTTGTTGGTGTTCATCGGGGATTGGTCTGGGAGTTAGATTTGGAGGATAGGCTGTCTGGATATGATATACCAAGTGAGCCCGATAGCGATGGACACGGGCAATCTAGGACCACGACCAAGTGGCTGGTGTGTATGGAGTGGGATTTGATATCAGTAGATTGATAGATGGTTACCGTGGCTATGTCCTGATATTTGTTTACGACTGTATATACTACGCATGATACCCCGGGCTTGACATAACTATATGTGAATGATTTCCTCCCCCGTGGGAGAGGTCGATACATTTCGTTAGATGACATATATACAAAGAATCAGAGTACAAAGTCTAACGCAATGCTTTTATCCAACCCCATATTAAAGCGAACCGGACGCCAAAAACAACCACAGCAGTCATGGGTCAAATCAATCAAACCCAGCCGTCTCCTTCGAAACAACCTTCAAAGCATCAACCGCAACATTACAACCCCACTTGATTAACTTCTGTTCCTTCCCGGAAACAACGTCCGACTTGGACACGACCTTGCGCAGGAAGAAGATCAGGCCCTTGACAATCTGGGGCGTTTCACGAGTGCGGATGAAGATTTCCATCAGAGCCTTCTCGTCCTTCTCGTCGTCGGATTTCTTGGCGTGCTTCTTGCCGCGTTTCTGCTTCTGGGATTGCTGAATGACGCTGATGAGGAGGAGCTCGACGAAGGTCTTGGATTTGGGCTGCAGGTAGGCGAAGTTGAGGGTCTTCAGGATGCCCAGGGTGAGGGTGTTGTCGGCGATGAGGCTGCCGTACATCTTTGCGAGGTTGACGATGGCTTTCATGGGGAGTTGATTCTGCTCGTCCTCGTCGAAGTCGGCATCATCTTCTTCATCCATGTCGCCTGTTTCGCCCATGCGTTTGAAGATGTTCCAGAGTGTGAACATGAAGGAGACTTTGAGGCGGCGGCCTGATTCGCCGCAGAGGCGACGTGCGATTAATGTGTAGTATGGGTTGTAGGTCTCTTCTTCCATGGAGCAGTGGGTTAGCACGCGCGGGACTTCGTATTCTTGTGCTTTCTTCAGGCGGAGTTTGAGAAGCCGGACATGCGCGTCTTGGTAGTCTGTTGCGGACATGATGGCGACGAAGATGGACCGGCGGACGTCGGTGTTCATTCGGTGGGCCTTGGCGAGGTTGACGAAGTCTGGTTTTCCATCGCTATCTTCTTCTTCTTCTGCGGCGGCAGGGTTCTGCTGGTCCGCTGGGAGGTTGGAGAGTTCCTGGCGAGCGGACACTAGCGGGTCTTCTCTCCAGCTTGCGCCGACAAGCCACCATTTTCCTTTCTTTGAGGAGTTATGAATGTCATCTCGCGAGATGCTGATGGGCTCGGTGGCACGGATGACCCGGGAGTTGTTCAGAGATCCTAGGATCTTGCGCATTTTCGTAATGTGCTCGGTGGTTACGCTGGAGCCGACTCCAGCCTTTAGCTTGTTGTTTTTAAGGTCGGTGATTGTGTCAATCATGAACTTCGTGCGGACAGAGAGAGATGCTTCGCCGGCCTTGGCTACTGCCGGCTGGATAAGAAGAACGATGTCTTTCAGGGACGATGGGTCGTCTTGTCTGAGTTGTGGTCCGGAATCTATCGCTGTTAGTTTGTTGCATCCAAGCAGGTACGAGGTGATTCTTACTCCTGATGATCTTGAGGAGCAATTCGGTATTCTCCTCAGTGATGTCTTGCAGAAAGAGCCGAATGTAATCGAAGATCAAGGTACTGGAGATGACATGAAAGTTGTAAAGTTGCGCAAGAAGAGACATAAGGTTGATGGACTCCTTCCCTTCGAAGCTGCCACGCTCATCGGCGCGGGCATCGAATGTTTCAACTATTTTTTGCACGAGCTCGGCGCCAAAGTCTGTTCCAATAACTCTGTATACAGCTGCAATGAACCCAGCATGGAGAATCAGGAACGTATCTTGAAGGGCGGACCGTTCGCAAATGAGGCCGAAAAGTAGATTTATCAGTGTCGTCGTTACTTCTTTTCGTGGGTACTCCCGGTACAGCTTTTCATATTCGGCTAGAATGGAGACCAGGTTGGCCTCGGACAATTTATTCAGGTGCCCTTGAGCCTGTCTCCTTAGTCGAACAAGAGATTCCGACTCGGACCCGGATGCAGCCCGCAACGATGGTGGAATATATTTCTGTGGGCGATTCTCGTTTGTTTCTGCGACAGGAGCCACATATGGGTTTTCTCGTTTCTTCGGGACGGGCTTCTCATCTTCGCCTTCTTCGGCTTCCTCGTCATCGTCTTCATCCAGATCGTCGAACATGTCTTCATCTTCGTCAAGATCATCCATATCATCCATGTCTTCCTCGCTCCCCAAGTCACTCCCATCTTCTTCAGAGTCACTCTCAGGCTCTAAGCCTTGCGCTTTCCTCCTCTTATTCCTTAGCCATTCGTCAGCTTCCCTTTTACGCTTACGGCCCTCATCTGCCGACCCCTCATCCAAGTCGCCTAGCAAATCGCCTAGACCATCCTCATCAAAGGACTTCGGAAGTTTTTTCCCTTTCTTAAGCCCAAGCTTTTTCTCTAGCGCAGCAATCTCGGCTTCGTCTTGGTCGAGCTTTTCTTGAACCGCTTTGGATATTTGGCGCGGACGTATTGTCTCGTCCTCCTCGCTACCACTTTCGGGCTCGGGCTTTCCGGCCTTCTTCTTGAGGATCGGTTTCGGTTGTTGTTTCGCCTGCTTTGCAGCCTTTAGCTTAGCAAACACATCCTCCTCGCCAGCTGCATCCGACTCGGCTCCAGAGCCATCATCGAACCCTTCAAAGTCATTGTCATCGTCCTCATCATCATCACGACGGCTCGACTGTTGTCTCCCGCCGTGTCTGGAAACCGGCGCTCGTTTCGTCTTCTTCTGGTCTCGTTCCTCCCGCCGACGATCTTTCCGAGTCGCAGGTCCGTTCCGCCTTCTCTTCTTATCGCCATAGGAATCTTTGATTCCCAACTCGTCGCGCAGGTTCCGAGGCAGCGAGGTCGTATTATGCATCGGACGCGGCATGGTGGGCCAAATATCCTCCCTCCGCACAGTTATGTTGCTCGAAGCTCTTGCGCAACGAAACTTTTTTTTATGCCGGGAAGAAAAGCGGGCGGAGTGGAGGCGGAGAGTGACGAAAGCCAGGGCGGTGAGCCGACCTTAACTGCGGAGGGCTTGTCTCGACCGCCCGATGTCAAGACGGTGTTTGTGTCCAGTTCGAAACTGCAGAACAGAGGGGTCTTTGAGAATCGTTGATCTTTCAATTAGCTTGGAGTAAACCCTGCTCAGTGTCTTGTTAGTTGTTGAAGGTATCCACGCCACGGAATAGGACATCCTGTCCCGGAGACATCGCACACAAGCGAATTTCATACCGTTCGTCGCAAATCTACAATGGCACCACATCTCGGCCACGAGGAGGTATGTACAACTTTTGTGAACCATTTATTTGCGTCGTAACGCTTGATAAGAGTATGGAGGGGGTGTACTGACGACCACCAGTTCTTCTCCTCCCTCGCCGACCTCCTGTCCAAGACCTCCCAGAAAGCCCGAGGCTCCGTCTTCCTCACTCAGAAGCCTCTCATTGACACTACCGCATCGTCAGAGAACGCCTCCTCATCGCGGCCATCTATCCTCATCCGAGCAACAGACGGCAACACCAACGCTCCCAACCCGAAGAACAACAAGGTCGAGAAGAAGAAGACCGTCTCGAAAGTGAAGCTGTCGACGATAGTGGCGCCGGAGGACCTCGAGGCCTTCTATACCCGCTATGCAGAGGTCTGCAAGGCGGGGATGACGGGATTGAAGAAGAGAGACCGTAAGAAGGGCAAGGCTAAGGCGAAGGGCGGCGCGAAGGCTGCTAAGGCTTAGACATACGGATCGACACTTTGATGGGGGCATGATTTGATGACCTGTGGAGGGAAGAGACTTGCTCTGTACGCAATGGGGCCTGGAAGTACGGACTGTGACGGGCGAAGTTTCTGAGATCGGTCCTGTTTGTTCTTTGCATTGATGGCGTTGTCTGGTCATTTTACTTTACGTTTCTATTTTCTTTTGCTTGTTCGTTTCATGTTGATATGTTAGATATACATATACCTAGACCGGTTGGTGAGCCGTGGACCTGGACCGAATGGAGGAATGATTCCGAATGAACAATTCAATCTTATTTCCTTCATGGAATGAATAATAGCAGGGTATATTAGCTATGACTATAACTGAGCTATGCTAAATTACAGAGGGGACATTAAACAATAAATAGTCAAAGCAAAAACCCGTCCGCCAACAAACCGTACAGTAACCCAAAACCGACACATATAGTATAACAATGCAGAAATCGTCATCATAGAAACAGGGCCGTCATAGCGAGTACAGAGAGTGCGTGGAAAGAATAGTGTGAGGCGAGAGATTGAAGCCAATAGAA